AAAAACCTGAGCATTTGGAAATAGATAAGAATCCTGGGCTTGATCATGTTTGCCATAAGAGTTTTAAGAGATTCAGGACCAAATACTTGAGCCACTTGCTTTCAGTTCTGTTAGATCAGGGCAAGTGTCATAAGGCTGGAATGTAGCTAATATTACTCCAATTTTTAAGGGTGGGATAAGTATTTTCCAAGGAGCTTTAGGTCAGTTACTGTAATTTTATTTTGTTGTTAGGAAAAGTTTTAGAAAATCGGAGAAAAGATGCTTTGCAGGATCACTTGATAAAGTTCACTCATTTGTCAGTGCTTTATAAAGAAAAGATCCTGCCTTACTAAGTTGTTAACATTTGAAGAATGTTACTAATATAAAAATCTTATGTCTGTAATGAGGGTGCAATAATTTTACAGAGAGATTTAGACTAGGTAATTAATATGCAGATGTCATTTAATCATAAAATTATGTATGTCAATTACCATAATAAAAGTTACACATGTAATTTATATAGACGTCCTCGTAATTTCGTGGATGAGAAAAATAATCTCAAAGTATTAGTTAATATATTATTAACCATTCTATTTTGAGTGATAAAGCTAATAGAATTGTGGGTTGTGTGTATATATATGAACATTGACTAGAAGTATAAAACGTTTAATTGTAAGAGGCTTCTTGATGTTCCATAATTCATTTACTTAAAAGTTAATTATCCCATTAGATATTTAAAAAAAAGAGCAGAGGACTTAAAAACAACCTCACAAGACGCTCAATATTAAGAAATGTGTTTAGGAACCACATAAATTACATTACACATGATGTTATTACAAGAAAAGGTACTTATTGCCATATAAAAATTTATTTGCCACATTAAACAACAGATACATTAGAAAAATTTATCCAACTTTCAAGACTTTGTTAAAGCTAACATACTTCAGCAATATGCATAAAGTTACATTTTTTTATTTTAGTTTTGAGCTAAAACTTGTTATATAAAAGAAAATTATTGAGGAGGAGATCCTCAAGCTTCTGGACTTTTTAAATCTAAATAATAAGAAAATTAAGAATCCTCAGTCAAAGTTTCAACATTGTTAAGTGCTTTGACATAATTCCAGGCCATTTGAGTGATGGAATGAAAATATTTGAAATAAAGATTTTTTGGGCTGTGTTTGAAGGTTCATTTTGTAGTCAGGAATCTCATGATAGTTCTAAACATTCAATGGTTCATCAGAAAGCATTCAAGCAGTGTCAGATTTTTTTACTCTTGTTAACAGAAGCTATTTGACAATGTATGAAAAGTGATAATAAATGTCACTTAAATTGAAAATTCAATCTTTGATTTGTATAATGACCATTCCTTAAACAAAAATTGTTGTATTAAAAATGTATACAAATAAAAAACATTATACTTTGCAGTTTTTTCATCCTTTGAGGCAGACTATTATGGTGGAACACAGGGGTATGGTTAGTGGATGAATTGCTTCAGTAAAATGTACTTAACCATTTTGTGTTTGTTATAGTTTTCATGCTATACCTTTTAAATTAGTAAGCGAATGTTATTGAAATTTGGCAGATCATCAGTAACCATTACAATGCTTCCATAAACAAAATATCTAATTTTTTTTATTAAGTTGTAAGGTTTGTAAAGCAATGTTTCTCTCATGCCTTTTTTTTTTTCATTTCACAGCTTGCCTATCTATCATGCAAAGTAATTTTCATTTTAAGATTAAAAATACTTTTATGCATCAGCAAATTTTGAAATTTCACATGTGAAATCTTTATAATGTCCAGATAGTTATCAAACTTTCTTCAGAAAAAACTTTATATTTTATCTGTTATTTTCAGTAATTAATCTCTGTACGGATTCGGTAGATTTGAACAATCTCACAACCACCATAAAAAATTAGGAAATAAACATAAGTTATGCCTCTTTCATTATAGAATGAACACAAATTATAACACAAAAACGTAAATGCTTAGCCGATATAACATAAAAATGACCTTTAGTCTGTACAAAGTAACTTGTCTTGGCTGTGTTTTAGTTGATTAGTATTTTGTAAATACAGTAACATTTCAATTATTATACATTATATATATATACAGATTATTAGTCTATTTTTAAATAAGTTTACTTAACTATTATTTTT